GTCACTGATGTTTTTGAATTCCAAAAGATTTTCAACTACATGTGATATGAATATAGATATAATATTATATTTGCAACCCATGAAATGTATATTTTCTCTGTAGCTGGTACAGTTCAACATAGCACAATTTGATTGAGTAAAAGATTTTCTGAGGGTGCCTCTGGCAGCCACCTTATGGAGGGTGAGTTAGAGGCTAATCCCAAGCCACCCATCAACATTCCCTCTATAGAAAACTGGAGTTCCCGGAGAAAACCCACAACTTTTGTCAGAGTGTTGACAGCATGACTCTTTTCACATTTAAGTGTCGTTGAAGTGGTGAGAATTGAACCAACAATCTCAGATGTAAAAAGTCCTCGCTCTGACAATTGCACTACCAAAGTCGGTGGCACAATCAGCATGCCACCATAGCCCCAGTAGGGTGCAGTGGAACTTGATGGGCTAAGCTGTTAATTTGTGCCAATGTACCTAGCTTGTTGAGAAGTTCAGCTATGGGTGAGTGCATGGGTCTATAAATAAAAACCCACAAGAGTATTAAATTTGCATAAATATTGCTAGTTCTAGCTAGATTCCTTTGAATGTAAATACTAGTACTTTATGTTATGAGCAAAATAAATAAAATTCTCAAGACTTTAAATGTTACAGGGGTTGTTGTTTGCATAGCATGTTGATGAGGTATATCTCATTCAGTCAAGTTGTGTAAAACATATGCCCATTCTAACTTGGCTGAACCAATGACCATATACAGGATTTAGGAGCAAGCACAGAAACAACTGGGATAGGTCTTGTTGTGTTTACATTACAAACCTACACTTGTCCAAGCACTTTACTGGGACCTACCCTGAGTGACCTGATAATGATTTCAGGTGAAGAATTTGGGGTGGCTCACCCTGTAGTATACACATGTTTGGATTGTTTAATCCCGAGACCAATTTCCATGACAACAGGGTAAATCATGTGTGTTAAGTGTGTATATGGTACATGTGTATATGTATTTTTGTGTATGTATATGTAATGTGTGTATATTTAATGTTGACACATATTTTCAGTGAGACCATCAGATGATGTTTGCCACATATTTTTCAAATATCATTGATTATTAACATGCATCTGAAATCAGCCCAACAAATTGCAATATGCAACCATACCATTAAATTGTCCAGTTTTTTGGACACTGTCCTGTAACTAGGTGTCAAATGCATTATATGTGGCCACAGGTAAGTCCAGAGTCTACCCCACTCCTTAGTGTAAACATGGTAGATTTTGGCAATCAAGGGCAATAGCCTTTATAGGTCAAATGCAAGGTGAAGAACAAAATACACATCAAAGTATAAAACACTGGGTTGGTTTGTGCTTTAGCCTTTAAACTTACTGTCAGCCAGTTACAACTATAGCTAAATGGCCAAAACAGGTTTTATATTATTAAATTTATTAAATGTTTATATCTTCACTGATATTTTGCATACTATAAAGCACTCGTGCATGTTTAATATAGGCCTTTTTCTTGGTAAAATTTTAGAAACTAAGAAACCTACAATAAAATATTTTCTAGTTATAAATTTTCTCCTCTGAGGTAAAAGGTATCATCAGTACAAATAAATAGTAATTTCAACATTCCATATAAATTCAATGTATTATTAAAATATTTATATTAAAATTAAAAGATTCAAGAATAAGCCAGTTTCTTTGACTTTGCTTGGTCAGTTTCTCTTTCAAACTGCAAAAAGGCAGTATATTTCATGATGTGCATCCAACACCAGACATATATTTTCAACCATTTGAAATAAATCGTTATTTTTTTTTAGAATGTTCAATAATCTCGAGTTCTCTCATGACCAGCAGACTTTCTAATTTCGAGAGGCTGGTCTCCTGAGGAGACCTTTAATTAAAATACCGTTTTCGAGGAAAAATCCTTATTATCAACGCAGTGATCATTTGGACATAAAATCTTTCCCAAATGTACCGCTCGTTAGGCAAGCCTTTCAATTTCATTTAGTATAGTACAGCAATTTCCTTCTTTGCATTCTCATGTCCGCCATGTTTGTTACAAATTCTGCCAGGCCGCCCAGGCGCCTCGCTTCCCAAGTCCTCCCCAAGCACCCCCGCGCGCTCGCTCAGCCACTGAACTATAAAAAACTGTAGTGTTGCTGTTTTTAGTACGTTATTTGCGCCTGGGTACGAGGCTGGTATTAAACCGTAGTTTCAGTATTTTCTGTCACTCATTCTGTATATATACTGTATGATGTAAGCGTAAAAGGAGCCTATACCTCCCGCTGGTTAGCACTATTTTCCATCCAGGAAACTGACCTGACGTCATTTTCGAAAGTTGGTAGAGGTGTTAAATGGGGGGGGCAAAACCAAAAAAAATCTTTCCAGGCATAGTGCAGAAAAAAATTCCAGCCATCAAGTGAGAAAAAAAATTTCTTTTATAGGTGTACAAATATATATATATATATATATATATATATATATATATATATATATATATATATATATATATATGGTATGGATATAGTCTGGCTTGCCAACGTTGATGTCACTTGTCTGGAGGATCCAAAGGATACACGACGCTTAAAATATATACAGAAGGAAAGGCGAACTCCAGACAGATCAGTAATAGTGTTTTATTACAAACGTTTCGCCAAAACAGGCTTCATCAGTGTAAAAAGTGAAAAACACAAGGAAGTTAACTCATGCGATATATAATCTAGCCTATGAATAATTAAGAACTAACAAGACGCTCTGTTGAGCGTTTAGTCGCTGGGCCTATTAAAATAAGGTCTTCTGCGCAGGGCTTCTGCAGTTATTGCTCTCTCTTCTGAGAGCAGTGTATAAGCGCAGAAGCCCTGGGTACTAGATTGATATTATTTATTGGATTTATCTGGCTTAGGCCAACTTCGAAGGCACTGGAAACCAAGCTTAAACAAATTTATTCCAACTCCACATTTTGACCCTTCAACTGATTTTCTCAACTTTGCTCGCAGGGTAAGCCTGTTACTGAGTCAATAAAAAGTGGACAGCGATTGGGATGCACAAAAATAACAACCAATCAAAATGGCGATAGTTAATTACATATCAGTCAATTCCAGCAGTGCCCATCCCCCCAAGGTATTAGCCATTTCTGGGAAGAAAACGGCTATGTCCACAAGCCATTTGCAATCAAATTAAATATCAGTTTTCCAGCAACTCTACCAAATCCCCTATGATGGAAAATGTCAAAATCCTCACCCCAGGGCTAAAAATATCGGCAACAGCCCCAACCCCGTGATTAGGAAAAGCTGCAAAGGCCCAGGGGTGGGAACTGCTGGAATTACTTGATACATTAGATTATCAAGGCTAATTTAAAATATGACAATAACGGCCAACTTTCCACCAATATCTCAAAACTAAATATTCTAATTTTCATCGAATGGTCAGGAATTACATATTAAATAATAATAATAACTGTTATTATATATCAATAGTCAAAGTCGCATTTTTCTGGTGTTTTATTGGTTGAGAGCATATCACGTGAGAGTGACGACATTAGGCTGTCTCCCTCGCAACAGCGCGAGAGGGAGATAATATGTTATCGACCGGCGAATAACAAAAAATCACGTGCGCCATCACGTGAAGATGCGACCTTTGGACATGCCTAGTACGTAATTAAAACTTTCGCTTTAAGGTGGCTCCCTACAGTTATTTTTGTTTAAGCAATAATTCCGTAAAACATGCTTATTCGTGCAGAACGCGAATTCTTTTCGACTTGGTGGCAATATTGCTCACATAAGGAATATTTCGAACTAGATTTCGACGATGTCAATGTTCCCATGGCAACATGACGACAGCATAAAGCCTTCCAATTTAACCCATAAATGTGCCGCTATCTCAAAAACGATGTCGCTGACCTATCTTTTTTATTTCATATATCAATGAGGAATGACGCTCTGCAACTGTGGTGAAAGTTTAAAAAAATTCTGTAGTGTGCGATTTTTTTAAAAGCGAAAATTTATTGCGAAATTTCCACACTACAGATTTTTTTAAAATTTGAAATTTATAAAATTTACCGCAAAATAAATTCGTGGTCAAAATTTGAAGATAGGTCACCGATGAAACTAATGAGTAAAATGCAAATAAAGTTAGAAAATAGCCTCGTGTAACTCGAGAAATTCCCCTATTGAAAAGCGTCGCTGACTAGTAAAAGATTGTACGCGGGCGCAGAACGAGTTTTCATTCAGCAAAATCGAGCCGCAATGTTGTTTTTACTGTTTTGTTTTTGTCAACTTTTCGATTTATTTGAGTGCTATGGACAGCCAAGGATTATTGTGAAGGATTAAATCGATGAAAACAAGGTTGAAGCTAATTGAATCCTGCCGTTTACTCAATCTATGAGCTGTAACAGCCTATTAACAGGTGGACGTGTTTTTTTGTTTCATGTTTGGTTTTGTACTTTTTGCTAAAAATGAACAATTAGGCTATGAAACTGAAATATTTTTCTGTTTACATATAATCACTTTAATCTTGTAGAAACACGACTAAAAATGTGAACGTTTTCTTGAGAAGTAAACAACTTTTTAAACGTTTGTATGCAATTTTGCAAATGTTTTACAGTTGAGTCAGTTGACAGTGTATAAAAAAAATTTAAAATATTGTTTCGTAGCTATTTTTTGGTCTAGTGATATTCGTATCATATGTAGAATTGCTGTATAGACTCGCAAGTGATTTGGCACTCAAAACGAAGTATTATTCAACGCTTTTTTCCATTAGAAACCTTTCAGAAATAGCTTTATTTTTTAAAAAAGCATGGTCAATTTTTGTTTTGTTTTGATGATGCAGTTGCGTGGGATAGTTCCCGTACTTGTCCCGCGAACATCCTGCACGGAACTGTAGGGAGCCTCCTTAATTCCTAGGTAGCAATATTCTTGTACAATTTCTATGGTATTGCTGTCTAATGTGAAGCTTGGTTTAGTCTTTTTCTTATTTCCTTTTTGAAAAATCATTACTTTTGTTTTCTTTAAGTTAACCTCCATTAGCCATTTACTGCACCAATTTTGGAGTTCATTTAGGCATTTTTGTAGTCCAAATCTTGATCTAGACAGGATGATCAAATCATCAGCATAGAGAAGACAGTTCAATTTTGAGCCATTTGGCAGTATGAAGGGGTCTGAGTCAGTATTATTAAATAATGTTGTTAGCTCGTTTATGTAAAGGTTGAATAAGAGTGGACTTAATGTGCATCCTTGGCGAACACCTTTGGAATAAGGGAAGAATGTTGTTCTGGATTTGGATAATTTGACTGCACATTTAGAGTTAGAATAAAGGCTCTTAATTAGACGATAAAAATTTCCCCCAATTTTGTATTTTAATAGTTTAGAGTATAGGCCTTCATGCCAGACAGAGTCAAATGCTTTTTTGAAGTCAACAAAGCATGCATAAATTTTATTGTTTTTGTTTGGGGTGACATGCTTATCAATTAACGTTTTTAGGGTGAAAACATGATCGGCTGTTCTATGTCCTGATTGAAATCCAATTTGCGAATGGTGAACTAAATCATTTTCTTGTGTGAAATCATTCAATCGTTTATTTAGAATTAAACAGAAGAATTTGCCAATACAACTTGTCACACAAATTCCTCTGTAGTTGTTAGGATCTTGTTTGTCTCCAGATTTAAAAATAGGGGTTAAAAGACCTTCGCACCATTTCTCAGGGAAAATTCCACACTCTAGAATCATATTAAACAATTTATGATAGCCTTTAAGCAGAATGTTCACACTAGATTTTATCATTTCGTTCCTTATCTTATCAGAGTAGGCAGATTTCTTATGCTTTAGTTTTGTAGCTGCACTTATAATGTCGTCTTCTGTAATTGGGTCATCAAGAGTGTTATTGTCATCAATGTTGTTTTCAAGAAGTTCTAAATTTTTAAGGATACCTTCTTGCTTGGGGCCTAAGTTGTGTTTTGTATGTAGATTTTCAAAGTGCGATATCCATTTTTGGTTGGTTATTTGTGTTGAGCTAGAAGAGAGATCATCACAGCTGTCACTCATGTTTTTCAGGTTTTTCCAGAATGAATTTGGGTCAGTCTCGGCAGCTATTTCCAAATCCTCGAGTTTTTTCTCATGAAAAATTTCTTTTTTATGTTTCAAGGTATCTTTATATATCTTTAGAGCCTCATGGTATTTCTTTCGAATTTCGGAGTTCAAGGGATCTCTGTGTGTTTGATTTGCTAGTTTTCTGACAGAGTGCCTTTTTAGACGACATTCTTTGTCAAACCATTTTTTGTTACATACATTTGTGATTTTATTTCTATATTTAGTCTTTTTAATTCTAAGTGACTTCTTGGCCGCATCTGAAATTATTTCTT